CTGGAGTGGAGTGTCACCAGTGGGTGGCTTCTCCTTCATGTTTTTCTGGTTGTAATCTTACTTTGTTAACACTTAAGCTTATTATACATAATTTGTATAGATTGTTTAACTCAAATAAAAAACAAAAAAAAAAAAATTAATTACAATGATTGATAATTTTCGAGATTTTGATAAATTTTGTCAAAATTCGATCTTTAAATGCTTATAAAAAAAAAACTGTGCCTATGTATTTTTAATATTTTTGAACTGATATTGTAACAATATATCAGGAGCCTTGTATTAAATTTTTACAGTTTTTGGCCCAACTAATAAAACTTTACTAAGTAGGTATAAAGTTATCTGTAAAAATAACAAACTAATGAAAAAAAAACTGGAAAACAAAACAAACTATATGTATAAATGTTAAATATATTAAGTTTTAATTATGTATTTTATTCTATACATAATATACTAATTATTGAGTCATACAGTATGATGTAATATAAAAGATTTTTTTTTTGAAACCCATGTGTTATTATTAAGGCTTGGTTGCATTTTTAGAACATACTGTATGCTAAGTAAGCACAAATTATATTTCATGTAACTATGAAAGTGTGATTAAAAATACCAATTCTTTTAGACCATATTTTAACATTTTACAGTTTTTAAATCTTATTTGATATTTTGAGGACAATATTTCACAATTTTTATCTTAAGTAGAAACTTTATGAATCATTTTGAGGAAATAAAACTAAAGACTCCTAATTTAGAAGAATAATGAATAATAATAAATAAACTAATTTAAATCAGTCAGTTATAGATTGTAATAAGTGAAAAATACTACAGCTTATTATGAGCAGACAAGGACAAAAAAAGTTGACATAATATTATGTAATAGCCTAGTTTATTAGACCATAGGTATCTTAGTATTGTATCTTACTATTGTACATTATGGTTCATTAAAGGCGCCCTAAGATGCTAACTTCCAATTTCATCTATGTAAGACATTATAACAGTGTTTTTAAAAATTTAAGTTATTAATTTTTGTTTTTAAATAATATGTTTTGTTTTTGAAGGAATGAGCATGTCTTAAACTATTTTACATTAATTTAAAAATTACTGGCGTGGCTTGCAATTATTGTACAATTGACAATATTATAATTTAATATTTTAATATTTTATAAGGCTTTAGAAGTCTTGCCGTAGTTTTTTAGAAGTTGTTACAATTATTAGTTGTGAATGGTTTAGTCATAACTTGTTTATTGATTAACAAAAAATATAAAATATAATATTAACACAAGTAATTAACACTTGGCACAAAAAAAAAATATTAAATTATATCTACAAAAAAAAAAAATAGGTAATGATTTAACATTGAGTTATGATAAATTTAATTATGATAGGTATAAAAGAAGGTTAAGAACCTACATAAAATATAACTAGAACCATTGATTTTAGAATATATATTCTATTATAATAAAGTATATTCTAAAATCAATACTAGAACTAGGTACCTATTTAGAATACTAATTTTTTTATTTTAAATTTTTATTGAGGCTAGCTATTTTATCCCTTAATTGTTTCTTTTCAATTACTAGTATTATTTATTAATAGGGCTAGGGACTTCATGCTCTGAAAAACCTTAAAATATGCATGCATTTATGCCCTTAAGAGGATGTCAGGGCACTATTTGTTTTCTCTCTCTGACCCACTCGCAACATAGACAAAACACATTTACGCAGAAACATTTTTTCTATGTTTTTAAGTAATCTTAGAGTAAAAGCACCCATTACAAAAAAGATAGAGAATACTATTTTTGAGGGAATGTCATATCGATTTGTCTAAATATTATCTCAAAACAATTTAAACATCATTTTAATGTACAACTTTTTTTGTTTATTTTGAAAGTCAAATACAAAGTCAAATAACAATAAAATATAAAATCGATATGACATTCCCTCAAAAATATTATTCTCTATCTTTTTTGTAATAGGTGATTTTACTCTAAGATTACTTAAAACATAGAAAAAATGATTCTGCGTTCATGCGTTTTGTCTATGCTGCGCGTGGGCCAGAGAGAGAAAACAAATAGTGCGCTGACATCCTCTTAAATCCATCAAAAATTCTCTAAAAATATGCAAAAATGCTAAAATATGCTCTTAAAAATATTTTACTTTTCATTAAAAACCAAAAATTTACAAGTTTATTTATTAGTTTAGTAGTTTAGTAGTTTACTATTATAAATTATTACTATTTATTACTTTAATTTCTTCTTCTTAAAACTTGCCTTTAAAGTTTAAACAAAACAAAAAGAAACAAAAAATTCAATTATAAATTAATATTGTGTTGATATTTTAATAATTTTTAAAATCCTACCCAAATGAATTGCATTGTGTGTCTAATATTTTTTGTATATTTTCAAATGTAAATGAGCGCCGATTGTTCGCTAATAAACTTTTGTACCTCAAAAACAAACGCTCGACATCAACAGATGCTATTAGAGCGAATTTATAGTATTTTAAGTCGTTGACCTCCAATAGTCTTCAAGATTTTCCATCGAATTGACTATTCCTTCTAATACATTAGAAATAATTTTAAATCCTTCATTTTTGACAGTACGTTTATTAATTTTTTATAAATTGCTTTTCCCTTATCTCGTTGTAGATTTTTTAATTTTTCTTTGACAGTTTTTATGACTGAAATACTCAGATAACATCATGTTTTGTTTTTCCAAACGTGTAATACATGAAAACTATAGTTGAAAGAAATAAATGCTAAGCCTCCTTTCAAATGTGGGTTGTTAAACATTTCTTTAGCTTTTTGGATGCTGTTTATTTCCTTTGTCATACAACTTTATTATTAAAACATATAATTTATAAATAAAATATGAAATAATGTGAACTATGCACTTAAAGTACAAATATAACAAAATATGCTCTTAAAGAGAAAAAAGCTGAATTTGCAAAATATGCAAAAAAAAATTATTGCTTTTAACTCTTAGTACTATACTACTATGAAACAAATTTCTATATTACTTAGCTATGTTTTGAATGATTATTGAGAAACATGCAAACTCCTAGTCCCTAGCCCTATTTATTAATATTTGGGTACTAGTTACTTACTATTAGCAGCTGCATCACAGAATAGATTAAATCTATTCTGTGGCTGCATCATTAATTTAAAAACAGGAATATGTTAACAAATTATAATTTGTACCCACCCATTTAAATTAACAATTAAAAAATTTCAATATAGGTACTTCTGGAAAGATATTTTCTAATATATAATTTTCGAGTAAAATATTTTATGCAAACTTTTTATTTGGATCACACCGTTCTGCAAAATTGAGTTATATTTTATTCCATTCTGGAATTATACACCCAGCGGAATTTCTGCAATATTATTTTCTGGATTTTTACGTTCTACTGATATAGATATACATTCTTATCAGTTTAAATTCTATGCTATTTACTTTCTTTCATTTTATTTTCTGTTTAAATATTATCTGGGCTTTTTATATTCTGGTTGCTTTCAATTCTGTAATATTAATTTCTGTTATTTAACATTCGACTAATCTACATTCTGGCTTTTTTTTTTCTGGAACATTATATGGGCCCGTATACTCTAAGATAAATACCGTGCTTATCACTAAGATAGTAATAATTGTTATCAAATGAATAACAACAACATAATATCATTTTAATCATGGCTAAATTATTTAGCCATGATTTTAAATTTTAATGTTCGCCGACTTTAATTGATTCATTTGAATCATCGATTAGGTATTTTAAATTTGTACGGAAATAGTAAATACAGACTATTATACATTCGTACAGTGTTGTATTCATACGTTTTAGTAAAAAGTTACCATGCATAAGTGTATTCTTTTTAGTAAGACATCCAAAGTATCGCCTCGCTACATTACCATAATTTTCATTTGTAAGTATTATTTTCTAGTTGTACTGATTATATTTCTTAATAATATTGTGCCAGTCTAATTTATTCACAAATATAGATTTACAAAAAATGAAAATAGAGAGAAATAAATTTTCAAATTAAATGATTACCCAATTTATATCTGGAGCGGTGGCATAGTTATGGGGGGGGGGGAGGGGGATGATGGGGATAGATAAGTGAAAAAAACAAAAAACGTGGCTTGAGGTTTCAGTACAAGTGGCTTACAGAGTATAATTGGCTGTCATATTCTGAACTTAAAAATGGAGCTTTCTGCAAACATTGCGTAATTTTTGCTAAAACTGGTGGAATCAATAGTCAGCCATTAGGACAGCTTGTAATTAAAGCCTTAAATGAGTGGAAAAATGCTAAGGAGGTAGTTGTAATACGCACTTATTGCATGCTTTTTTATTTATATGCCTTGGCGGTATATTGTACACCTAATATATTTATTATTGTTTATTTTCATTTCAGATTTTTCGTACCCATTCACAAAGGAGCTATCATCAATCTTCCATTTTGGATTCTGAAAATGTTTTAAATATATATTCTCATAAAGAATTGTCAATAATTGATCGACTGGATTCCGAAAGGTATACAATGACATGAGTCATGTTAATTATTTATTATTTGTCAATATATATTTATGATATTTTTTTAAAATTCTAATAGAACAATGCAAATTAAGTCAAATAGGAGCCGCCTTGTACCAATTATTGAATGTATAATATTGTGTGGTCGTCAAGAGCTAGCATTACGTGGACATAATGATTCTGGGAGCATATATGGTTAGTATTTGTTTTATACATTTATTTATTTCACCATAGCTTTTTGTATATAATATATTTGATATATTTTTGTATCACTTAAATGTAAGTCATTTATGTTACAGATTGTGATGATATAAATCAAGGCAATTTTAGAGCCATTTTAAAATACCGTGCTGATGGTGATGGCTATTTAAAAAGTATTTTACAGAAAGAAGGCAGAAATAAATTCATTTGTCCCCAAATTCAGAATGAAATAATTTAAATGTGTGGTGATGTAATTTTGAAAAAGATGTTAAAATGGATATTGAGTTGACAGTCAAACGGTTGAATAAAAGACAAACAAATCGAGCAAATCCATTGTCTGATCAAAAAATGGATGCGGAAACTTACTACAAAATAACTGTTTTTATACCATATGTTGATTATTTCATAACTGAATTGGAAAATAGATTTTTGGCACACTCAGACATTTTCAAAGGTAGTTTAATAATATAATATTATATAGTAATATTAACAAATATTATTTATTAGTGTATTTGAAATTGTTTTACATTTTTAGGGTTTGAGAGTTTATTTTCTTCTAATACAATTTTGACTGAAGTTGAAGAAACTTCATTTAAGAAATTGGTTGAATTTTACAAACCAGATGTGGAAAACTTAAAAATTTTACTGGTTGAGCTAAAGTTGTGGAGGCTCAATTTAAGCAGATCATCTTATACTGTATCAAAATCAGCTCTTCAAGCGCTTATTGAATGTGATGCTAATCTATTTCCTAATATATTTATATTAATCAAAATTTTATGTACATTGCCTGTATCCACTACAACACCTGAGCGGATGTTTTCATCCCTAAAAAGAATAAAAACATATTTAAGAAATACCATGTCTGAAGTAAGACTAAAAATCATTAACTTTTTATTCATTGTCATAAAACGATTGTCATTACATTTTCATAATAATTAATTAATAATCCTTATTTGTTATTAAACAGGATCGATTGAATGGATTAACTATGTTGGCTGTCCACAAAAACGTACACATTGACACAGAGGAGATAATAAACGAGTTTGCCAAAAAACCTAGGAAATTGGATTTTATTTGTTGGAATTATGTTTAAAAAAAAAAACCTGTTAGGGAGGTGTGGGGGGCTTTGGCCTCCACTTTACGTTTATCCAATTAATTAAATATCCCCCCCCCAGAACCAAATCATAACTACGCCACTGATCTGGAGCAGAATCTGCGGTAATCATTTCACAATCAGTAATTATAAACAAGGCTCAGTATATAGTAGATATTATTATGGCCAGAGGCTGTCACAAAAACAATAAAAACCGCATGTCTGTTTAGAGGAGTAAAATAAACAATATAAAATAATTTTTAATAATTTACAGCAACACTGGTACCACTCTGAGCATGACTGGTAAATCATCTAAGAGGTAAAATCTTTTAATATTGAATTATTTTAATAATAATTAGGTAGGTTATTCAGATATTTTTTACAACTTTATATTTTCAGAAAATTACAACGATGAGTTTGAAGAAAATGAACAGACAAATAAAGGATTTGGAGACGTTACAGTCGATGATTTTAATTGACTCAGAAAAGCCTTAGAAACTTAATAATGTCTAATTCACACACACACTTATAGAAGTATATTACTCAAGTTCCTATTTTAAATGTTTGCCAAAGCCAAAAGTTACTTAGTGATTTATCATTTTCAGTTCATACAGTGGATTATACTTATTATGGTTTTCAAAACTGAAATATATGATGTACCACATACAAGGAACTATTAAATCGAGCCAATGTGTTGACAATTTTTAGACGTTGACTTTCTTGAAGATAACTATATACATACCATATTGGAGCTAGTTATGAAACTTAAAGGTGAGAATAATGTTAATAGGTTTTTATTTTAAAGCTATTTTACTGTACTATTTTACTAACTAACATACCCACCTGTTCACGGGACACACATTGTATAATATGTAATTGTGTGCATGGACATAAATTTGTATATCGAAAGGGCTCAGCCCGTTTAGTCAAAATAAATTAATAAATAAATAATTATATCATTCAGTATTAAAATATCCATAACTTGTTTTAAAAATAAAATACAAATAAATGCTTAGTGCTTCTCTATAAGGTACCTTGAAAAATATCTTTGCTTTTAAGTTTGATTATAATATAAAGTCATATAACTCTAATATTGAAGCTAACATTCCATAACTGGATCTACTGTACTCACACTTGCATGTTGCTCATTATTCAAAGAGAGAAACAAATGGTGCACTGACATATTTTTAACAAAGTTTTAATGTTTTAGGCAATACAATTTTGCTGAGGAACAACCCAATTTCAAAAACACAAAGGGCCTCAACATATTTAAATTGCAAAGAAACACATAACTAGTTTGGACTTCTGAAAGGAAAATGAATGTAGTTGGATAACAGGTAAATATTTAAAATTCCCAGGTGCTTTCAAATAAATCGGAAAAAACATTTCTTTTTTTGCATTTTCTGTACACCATACAATTTTTAAAACAATTTAACTTGTTTTGAGCTAACTATTAGGGATAAGACATTTTGGTGGAATTACATTGAAATTATTAGTTTTCTTTCATACCTGTTGTAATTATATGCATATTATGTTTATTACTATGCAGTATGCACAGTATTTTATTTAAATTGTACTAATTTTTTTTTTTGTATTACAAATCCAGAGACCTGATTTTAAGTTATATTAATGAGCACAACATTAAATGCTGCAGCATTTTCCAAGTATTACAATGAACCAATACAAAGATCTCGCAAAATTGAACCTGGTGATCCATTCACTGAATTTGTAATTCCTTATGTAAAGTAAGTATGCATGTAAAAGATATATTAAGAAATATTTACTTACATATTGTTAACAAATAATCAATGTAATATTCAAATAACAAAATCTTTTGTAGTGAAATGAAGAGATTGCAAAAATATGCTTTTGCAATATTGAATTGGTTGGAAAATCCAATGTCTGAAGATACAGATTACGAATTGATTTTAGAACTCATATACTACATTTGTAACAATGATGCAATACTTGTGTTTCTTTTTGGATGGGATCAAATATATATGCCAGATTCGTTCTTGTCTCTTGGATGTAAGTTTGCTTCTACTACCTATATAATTTTTCATGTTCATAGATATCTTCTAAATTCTAATAACAATTTAATAATATAATATATTGTTTGAGCGTCATTAATATAATATACATTTGTTTAAAATTATATAATACATAATTTGACATGTTGGCTTAAATATTGGAGTTAATTTACCCATTATTAAACGTAACATAAATGTAACAATATTACTGTACTTATTATTGTATATTTTGTTATAATATTGTCATATGTTTTACTATTATATTGATTTTTATATTAACCTTATGGAAGTAGACTAAAAGTGTATTGCATGAATGCAAACATGTTGCACAGAGTGCATGCTATACCCAAGAATACCCAAAATACATTTAAAAATATAAGATAGTAAATACACCAAAATATAATTTAATAACAAAATTAAAATAATTTGTCATGTTTTAGATTAGTTGAATAATCATCTTCTGAAGAATCACAATTAGAAAAGACACCAATCAAAATGGATAAAAAGTTTACCAGAAAAAACAAAGAAATCCCAAAAATTGGAAACAATCAATCAATAAAGATTTGACTGAAAAAGGACTTGAACATGTATTTAAGACAGGCAAAATAATTCCAGCCAAAATTGTAAACTTTCTAAGGTCTTGTAATAGATGTGCATATAGTTGTTTAGTTAATTTTGATCGAGATTAAATAATAAGTATTCACGATTTATACTAAAGTCTCAGCGGAAAAGATAAAATTGGATTTATACTTAACTATAAATCCTTAATTACTTCAAAAAGTAAAAATAAATCAAAGGACAAAATGTTACCAGTATAATTTCTACAAAACTGATAAAATATTGATTAGAGTCTGCAAAAAATTATTCTTAAACTTATTATGTATTAGCCAAAAGGTTATTTATAATTGTCATTCATCAATGAACCCACTATCATAAACTCCGCCTGATGAAAAGCGAGACAAGAATACAACTAGTCATATTAAAGCAGAGGACAAACCAGTGGCGCCGAACACGGGGTATAGGTCGGGCGGTCGCCCGACCAAATTTTTTGGGTGGTGGTGGTGGTCAAGTTTTTGGTTGTAAATAATAATAATATTATGCTATACTTCTTATAGATATTATATTATTCTTTTATAACACGTAATCAATTAATTCCGTTAGCCATTTTAGAATATAATAACTATTAACTAATAAGCAATAAGTTAGGTACCAATTATATGCAGTAAGACCTGTGTAATGTGTACAGCGTAAATAACTATATAATATTGTTATAAATGTACCTATATAATAATTAATATTATGTGGGTATGGGTACTACGAAGTACGATCTATTGTCAATTCACTCAATTCTGATAATTCTATTTATTGTATTAATATAGCTTATCATTATTAATAAATGGTTGGCCCGTAGACGTTGATGTTAATAATATCATATCTATGTACGGGAAAAATAAAAAAAAGTCTATTTATAAATTATATTTAGTACGGATGTACGGGACGTACGGTGAATAGGTTTTATCAACATTTCATAAGCTACGATATAAGTATTGCCTATGGTGTTATTATCTTTTATTAATGATTCAAAACAAGATTTTTTTTTTGTGGATTGTCAATTTTTATTGCGAAATCTTTGATTTAATTTGAATATTAATTACTTAATAGTTTTGGTTTAGACTTGAATTCAATAGCTAATTTAAATATGTCTAGTGAAGGTGAAAAATGCAATTTTTGTAATCGTTTAAGAAATAATTTGAACAAAGTAAATTGGAATCGCCATTTAGCTAAGTGTGAACTTTTATTTTCGACAAAAATAACTAAACCAAACAAAAAATCTAAAAATGATCGATGTGGCGATATTAAATCATTTTTTTCATATAAAAGACCGAAAACAGAAAATCCTGATTATGATAAACAGATTCAAATACCATCAGTTAGTGATATTTTACCAACTGACACTCCTACTGCAGGTAATTATAAAAATTATTTATCTACTTATAATTTTAAAATGTATTGGAATTTTGTAAAATTTTAAAATTTAAAATTATCAATTTAGTAAAACTATAAATGTAGGAATTATTGTGATTTTTAAATTTTAATATAACCATTATAACCTATACCCAAAATATAAATTGTTATAAATATATTATATATTTATAAATTCTATTAGGTATACCTATTATATTATATTGCTTTCATTGAATTAGGTTTAGGTACCTACTAATTTGATAATTAATTATTTTAAATTATTTTTCGCCTACAAAAAAATACAATTAGTAGGTACAAGTTTTTAATTATAATTTTTTGTTGTACATTTCATGTGTTAAAAAAGACATTTTTATTCATTGTTTTAAAACTAAATTTACTATATAAATTCTTTAAATCCATAATGACAGAAAAATCGCCTGCAGTTTATGAAGACCCTACAGGTACTAAGGGAAATGCTGAATCTACATGTATTAACTACCATCAAACACCATCGGTCAGTGACATTTTACCAACCGACACTCCTACTGCTGGTAATTATAAAAATATTATTTATATCTACATATAATTTTAAAATGTATTGGCATTTTACCAAATAAAAATTAAAAATTGACAAATTATTAGAAAAAATACAAAAAGCTACAATTTAAAATATATGTTTTTAATTAAATTTTTTTTGTTGTACATTTGATGTGTTAAAAACAAATTTTTATTCATTGTTTTACAACTAAATTTACCATATAAATTCATTAAATTCATTAATAACAGAAAAATCGCCTGAAGTTTATGAAGACCCTACAGGGTCAAAGGGAAACGCTGAATCTACATGTATTAACTACCATCCAACACCATCGATCAGTGAAATTTTACCAACCGACACTGCTACTGCTGGTAATTATAAAAATATTATTTATATTTACTTATAATTTTAAAATGAATTGGCATTAAACCAAATTAAAATTAAAAATGTTAATTTTATTGGAAAAAATATAAAAAGCTACAATTAAAAATACATGTTTTGACAGAAAAATTGTCCGCAGTTTATGAAGACCCTACAGGGTCAAAGGGAAATGTTGAATACACAGATATTGAGTATTTAGAGGCTACAAGTATAGAAAAGGATAAACTATTGTGTTTGGAAAATTCTGAATCTACTCAATTAGATCTTTTGGAGGTAAGAAATTATATTTTTGATTAAAAACAATATTTTAATTAGACTAGTAAAAAAAAAAATAGAAATTGATAACTGTTTTTATTATTTTTTTAAATAATAAATACTTAATAAATAGGTAGTATTGTAGTAAGTATTAAGTAGATTGATTAAGATTACTGATTAGTATAAGACTTATTAGAAATATTTTTTCAACCTTGAATTTTGATTACATATTCTAAAATGTCTGAGAAATTGAATGATTTTTAAACCAACATTTTAGAATTTTAGAATCAATGGTGGAAATTTTTTTTTTTTAAGTTATATATTTTTCTTATAAAATGATAATAACTGTTTTTATTTGTTATTTAATGAGTTTTGTATTAAATAATTTAAATAAAAATACATTTTTTATAAATTTGTAGTATTCATTTACTTAAGTTTTAGGTTTATTGAATTCATAGTTATATAATAATTGTAATGTTTTACTTTGGAAAATAATAACTATTAACTATTAAATTCAAAATAAAGTAATTTTTTTTTGTGTAGTTATTTGTTAAGTAAACATAATAATTATAACGTATAAATAAATTTGCTATAGGAGAATACTTCTGAAGATTTTTTTGAATTATCAGCAGCCTCAACTTGGAAAAATGATCCCTTTTTGTTAATAAAAATTAAGCATTTTACACCAGAAATTATAAGTATGATTGTGGAATGGGGACCATGTCAGCCAACTTCTGATTTTCTACCAAATAAAGAATTTTTAAAAGACAAAGATGGACGGCATTTTCATGCAGGATGGTACTACAGAACTCATACAGATGGAACTAAAACAAGAAGAAACTGGTTAACTTATTCACCATCGCTAAATAAGATATTTTGTTTAGACTGTATTTTATTAGGAAGAAAAACCGCTAAAGCTTGGGTAAAAGATGGATTTTCTCACTGGAAGAATATGGGCATTGCAGTAATTAACCATGAAACAACTAATGCTCATATTGAAGCTTCATTAAAAATTAAATTAAGGGAATCTGTTTTACCCTTAATTCCATCCTTGGAAGTAAACCGAAAATCAAGTGTGGCACTTAATAGGGAAATTGTGAAACAACTAATAGATATAACAGTCTTTTTGGGACGCCATTGTTTGCCTTTTAGAGGGCATAGAGAACGCTGGACTGATCAACTCAAAGGTAATTTTAAAGACTTGGTACTTCTGTTATCTGAACATTCACCGGCACTTGCGTCTCATGTTTCAATTCTCAAATTAAAAGGACGTAAAGATACATCTTTTATTTCCTGGGATCGCCAAAATCTTTTAATTGAATCTGTTTCAGAATACATATCACAAATTGTTCAATCTGATATTATTTCATCAAGAATATTCAGTGTTTCACTCGATTCTACCTTTGATATATCCCGTAAGGAACAGGTTTCTTTTATCATAAGGTATGTTAATGAAACTAATGGCACAGTTATGGAAAGATTATTAGCATTAAGAGAATCCCCATGCACTACCGGAGTTCATCTTTCTGAGTTATTTCAAAATGTTTTTAATCATCATAATCTTGATTGGAAATCGAATTTAGTGGGTCAGTCATATGATGGGGCTGCAAACATGAGTGGGCAGTATAATGGGCTTCAAGCTAAAATACTTGAACAAAATCCTCAAGCCCTATTTATTTGGTGTTCTGCTCATAGGTTAAACCTAATAGCTAGTCAGGCAGTAGGATCTTGTTCAAATGCAGTGGATCTATTTGGAAATTTAGAAAAAATATTTACTTTTATCACTGGAAGTAAAGCACGATCAGCTTTTTTTAGAGAAAAACAATTAGAACTCTATCCAAAACAACAAATAAGGTCAGTGAAACGTGTAAACACTACTCGTTGGATGTCACATGCCTATGCCTTAAATACCGTACTTGATGTTTACGATGCAGTTTATCAAACAATAGAAGAAGTAAGAAATAGAGACGGAGGATCGGATTTCAAACTTGGTGCTGATTGTAATGGACTGCTTAGCTACTTGACTTCTTATAGGTTTTTAATGACAGCTCTTAGTTTTAAAAAAATATTTGAAATACTTGAACCATTAACCCGTACATTACAAGCTCGTGACATAGATATTTTAGCAGCGATGTATTTAGTTAATAGTGCTAAAGAGTCCATAGTGGCACTGAGAACTGAAGAAACATTTGAAAATATTTTGATATTAGCTAAAGAATTTGATGATAAGTATGAGAATGAGGAATTTGAGCCATTGCGGACAACAAGAAAACGTAAAGTTAGAAAAATGGCTGGGGAATTATGTAGTGATGAAGTTGAACAAAATCCTATTCAAAAGTTTAAGGTAGATACTTATTTTGTAGCATTAGATATTATTGAAACACAAATTAGTCAAAGATTTACTAATAAAACTATTGAAGTAATGAAAGATTTTGCTTTATTATCAACCAAACGTATAAAAGAATTAAACCCAAAAAGCATTCCTATAGATGCATTTAAGGCTGTTTGTTTGGTATATAATACATTATTAAAGTTAGAAGATGTCCGTAGGGAGTATGAACAGTTTATAAATTGTGATTTAATTGTTAATGAAACTTTACCATTGTATCTGCATCCTAATTTAAATGATGACAATTCAAGTTTGAGCTCTAACGATTCAAACAGTGACGATACTACATCTGAACAATTAAGAAGGTGGCAAAATTCATCAAGTTTAATGTGCGTTTTTCAAGATTTCTGTAAAGCTGGTCTAAAATCTATATTCCCAAGTTTATTTATGCTTATAAAAATTGGAGTGACTATTCCAGTATCAAGCTGTTCCCCAGAGAGATCTTTTTCCAAATTAAAATTAATAAAAACTCGTTTAAGAAGCACAATGGGGGAAGATAGATTGGAAGATCTGATGCGTATCACCTGTGAAGCTGATATACAGTTAGATTCAGAAACAATAATAGACAACTTTGCGACAAAATCTACAGTTTTAAATAAAAAATTAAAATACTAAAATAATCTAATTATTTTTTGTCAATTTGTTTTTAGTGAATATTTTACTCTTTACTGTGATTATCATAAAAATAAATAAAAATTATTTATATAAAAGTTTAAATTATTTTATTTATTATCTATTTTATTATATAATAATTTATAACTACTACTATTAATATTTTATTTGTGAAATTCTATTATTAATTATTAGTAACTTATATTATTACAGTATTACAACTGTTTCAAGTTATGTGTACCTATATTATTAATTTTTATAATATATTTAAATAATTTGTAAAGAAATATATACAAATGTGTGTTATTGTAAATAGAGGAATATTATTAAGGGGGGTATGGGGGGCAGAGCCCCCCATTAATTTGTAAAATTTTTTTTGGGGTACGTGGTGGGTGTTTTGCCTATTTTGGAAAGTTTGCCCGACTATTTTAATACTGTCTCGGCGCCACTGGGACAAACTATATGCCATAGACCATATATCTAGTTTCTCTACTGTTGAATCACATTATTGCCGACATGATACAAAAAGAATCTGAGTTGCACTTCCAAAAACAAATGTTGGCCCAGCGTTTTATAAAAAAAAATTAAATGTTTAAAACCTTACAGCTCATTTGTCTACTTCCAATACTATATGTTGTGCTATTTGGAAACAAACAATTATTGGTAGATCACATAATGACCTTGCAAGTGTGTTTATTAACATATTACAACATATTGTTGATAAAAATTTGGGTATACTAAACATTGTTACATGGTCTGATAGCTGTGTGCTACAAAATTATAATAAGATAATGTCATTATTGGGTTTATGTTGAAAAATCCCAGAACAAAATCAGTTACAATGAAGTTTTCAGTTCCAGGCCACTCGTGCATCCAAGAAGTGGATAATGCATATTCACAGATTAAGAAACATATAAAAAAAATAGATGTATGGTGACCATTGTTATTTGTTAGATCTTTACTAAAAGTTAACTCAAAAAAACCTTTTATTGTCTTACAGATGTCTCTAAATAAGTTTAAAGACTATAATAAAGTGTCAATTGCTATTTTTTAAAATTTGTTATTTACGCTTTAATCAACATTTGTCTACCATAATCATATACTAAAATGTAATACAAATGTATGTTGATGCTTTGGCTGATGCTTTATACACAATTTTAGCCGTTCACACAAATGCATTTTGTTTTTAAGTTCAAAACATTTACTAGTAACTGAGTGAATTATTCAAAATACGAATAAGTACTTAATTCTAAAGGATTATTATTTTTTTTAAATACATTTTAACAATTAGAATACAAAAAGTTGTATTCGAATTATGTCTGAATTTATAAATCAAAACTATTCAGCTAACATATTCAGCTAACAATAATACAAATAACAGTTAAGAATAAAAAAGTTCTAATTGATGAATATATTTCTTTTTATTTTAGGTTGAAAAGTTCCTAATTGTAGAACCAATATGTATTTTATTAATTTTAATACCAACCAATACAGCAAATTATTATTATAATGATGTGAATTAAACTATACAAGTTGCTACATGCCTTAGAACTTAATTTAAACAAAATGATTTCAAGGAATAAGATATTATTTTAACTCAAACCTTAAAATTGCTCTCCTGGACAATTTCATAAAAACGATTTAGAACCTTTTCAATCTAGACCCACGAAGCTAAAACGAATTAAGAACGATATTGCAAAAATTAATTGCCGAAAATCATTAGTTTTTAATTGAAAATGATAGGGAAGTCTATTTTAAAGTTATAGCTAATTGAAATTTTTGGTTATCTCATATATACCTACCCGGCGTATTCACTTGCACGCTGTGCTCACTCGGACAATTATAATTAAAAACATCACTCGACTTGTTATGTAAAACTTGTCATGAATTATTTTTGCACCATCATTCTGAAGACGTTGATTTAACTAGGTTAAAAAAATTGTTATTTTGTTATACCCACTTAAGCTCGGTAAACTTTAAGCGTTGTACGGGTGCGTAAAACACCGAAAATCGTGAACTTCGTAAGGCTATGCGATAACAAATTATGATTTCCGTGAGTTAATTTTTGCATCATAAATCTTAAAACTGGTTGCAAATCATAGGTTTCCAAAAAAAAAAAATTGAAAAATTTGCTTGGGTGCTAAACTATATGGTTTAGACACTAAATTAAAAAATATTCTAGGGTTTTAAGAAATTGTCTTCAAATTATCACTTTTAATTATTTTATATAGTGATATTATTGGTAGGGTAAGTTAAATAGAAGAAGTTACATAAGTTTTTTCACCTGTAACAAAAAAAGTAAAAAATATTTATATCCACAATCATTTCTGTAAAAGAACACACGATTTATCAATAGACCGTTTATGTGCTGAGTGTAGAAGTTCTATGGATTTATTATATTAAAAAATATATTTTATATCATCTATGGCAATCGCCAATTGTCGAAATTCGTCCGCGACGATTAACAATTCTAATAATTTTAGTGAAAAAAAAAATAACAAGCCATCAATATAGACAGATAGTTCGTTAAGCCGTATATATTATAATGTAAGTTTTAACACGAATTCGCACAATTCGTTATGTTCAGGTAATTTTCATAAAATATTTCGATAATTTCAAGTTACAGTTCGGAACGAGATGAAGATAGGTAGCTGATTCTTCGGTGGCGTCACGTACTCGACGTTTGCATTGTTGATGATGCACTCTAGCTAGGTTTCACCGGAAGAGTCGATGTTTCAGCGTAAGTTTGTTTTCATATTATTTTGGGATAACTTTATTTTTAGCATTATTATTTTTAGGAATTTTAATAATTAAAAACATAATATAACGTAATGTTGTAGTAGAAGCTGGAAATTGTAGTACCTACCTATATTCTAATTTATAATCCAATTAATGTAATTCTTTGAATTTTTTAAATTTTAATGTACCATTTATTATGCCTACACAAAACAATTACCTTCCAAGATTGAATTTTTCACAAAATTTGTTGTTTTAACGATAAATGACAATTTTAGGTCCCTATTATGGTGAAAGTACCTATTTAATACAAACATACAATTATTATTCGAAAATACAATTTCCTATATTATTATTTACTAAATACAAAGAAACTTAAAAACAAAACTATGATCATTGATTACATACAGAGTACCTATAATATATTATGCATGGAACACGAAGGTTTATTTTGACTACCTACTTATCGTGTACGCATCAAACACAAAATAGAAAAAATAAGAAACTAAATATACATCATAGTAAAATGAAAATATTCATCACTCCGATCAGAATCTAAAATATAAATTATAGGTACACGATACAATTAAATTAACATAATATTAAATAATAATTAATAATTTTTTGATCAGCAGAATTCGTAGAAAATGTTAGACTTGGAATTTTACAAATCTAGTTGGTATTATGGTAGGTACCTACTGTAAATTTGATGTACTTAGGCACTGTACATCTTTATGTTAACTCTGAAATCCAGGAATCACATTTTCATTTAATGATTTTTAAAATACAATATTACCTATGCTTTTAAAAAAAATGAAATGATGTAACAGTATGACATGACGCTGGTATGACTAAGGTAAATTAATTTTGTTTAGGAAAGTGGAAAGAAGGCACTATGCTTTTATAAAAATATGCTTGTACTTCTGATATATATTCACCATATTAGTAAATAATTAAATTAAGAAACGAAAATAATAATTAAAATAATATATTATTATATTTAATTTTTTTATAATTGAAATTCAAAATTATAAACTATTTTGATTTTTGTCATAATATAAAATTTCAACGAACAAATATTGTTCCTCAGCACGGATCTCTTTGACATAAAAAGTTGCGTTACCTATATGATATCCGTGGATTCATTTTATTCACGTACCTACCTAGTATAATATCTATCATTTATATTCCATGGCAAATCTCATATTCATTGCAGAGGACACAGTCGTCATTAAAAATTCCAAAATTTCAATAAGCAAAGCCGATATGAGCGAAAAACTTACTGCGTTCCGTATAATTTTATTTTTCATCAATCACAATATTTTAAGTTCCGTATATTATGGAGATTTTCCTCGTCAGCCTCGCAGTGAACACACGTACGTCACGGATTCCGCCGAAAGAATCGATGTTTAAGGTAAATTTGTTTTCATATTCTTTTGGGGCTTAAATTTACTTTTAAGAATTAAGATAAATATTTAATGTCACGAAAAATGTGTTATTGTAGACGCATATATTTATATTTTATAAAATGTTTTTCCAGTCCCCGGTCGTAGAATAATTGTAATTAATAGGTGAATATGAAAATTGTTTACTTGAAAAAGACATATGTTTTGGTTTAATTTATAGAAATATATGTTTTAACTGATAATAGTCATAAAATACAATTTTAATTTATAACTGGTCATTTTTTTTCAAATCCAACGTTATAAGTTATGGGTAACTATTAACTTAGTGTAACATACCTACTCAACTTCTATTGCTCACCTAATATCTATATCATAGGAAGTAGGGACGTATAACCATGTACACATAAAAGTTCACGAATGGTCAACTGCATGTCTGCATATCCTCCCGTGTCCGCACTTATGAATAATATACTGATATACTCGTATATATATAAATATAGTGTAATACATACACGAATGCGTTACCTATTATGTCCCTAAAAATTCAACATTTATTCTTATATTAATTTATTTTTTACATATAGGTGGGTACATTACAAAACTAATTAAAATCACATTTTTTTTTATTTTCTCGAATACAATGTTTCCAAAATTATTAATCAATATATTATTTATTAGTAAATAGTATTAAATAAATTGATGAAATAAAATAAACTAATATAATTATTAATAATAATAAATTCATTTATAAATTATTAAAATACAAACGAAAAACGACTCTGAGCAAAGACAGTTATAAATAATATTGTGATTAAAGTAATTTATTTTACTATTATGCTTTAGTACAACAGTAGGTTAAAG